GACCCCAGAGAGCTCCCTAGCTCTGTCCCCTATGTGAGGACACAGCAAAAAGACAGCTGCCTATAAACCAGGAAGTGGGTGTTCACCAGACATGGAATCTACTGGCAAGTCCATCTTGGACTTCTAACCTCCAGACTGTGAGAAATAAATTTCTGCTGTTTATAAGCCACCTAGACTATGGTATTCTGTTATAGCAGCCTGAACGCACTAAGACAGGTAATATTTAATTATATATATTTTTTTCTTTTCATTTTCCTCTTCCTTTCTCTCTCCCTCTCTCCTTTTCTCCCTCCCTTCCTTTCCTTCCTTCCTTCCTTCCTTCCTAATCTTGTAATTCTTCCATTTTAATAGATTCTCTCTCTCTTTTTTTAATTGGGGAATTGCGGGAGGGGAACAGTGTTGGGGAATTGGGGAAGGGGACCAGCCAAGTTGTTGTTCTTCAATCTTAGTTGTGGAGGGCGCCAGTCGCCATCTGGCTGCCCATCGGCAACTCGTGGCCTCTAAGCTCAAGGTGCTGTGTTCAATCTTAGTTGCAGGTGGGTGTATCCACCATCTCATGCTGGAGTTGAACCGGCAGCCTTGTTGTTAAGAGTACACGCCCTATCCACTGAGCCATCTGGGTGGCAGCTCAGCTCAAGGTGCCGAGTTCAGTCTTAGTTGCGGGTGGGCGTAGCCCACCATTGAACAGGCAATCTTGTTGTCACACCAGCTGAACCATCCTGCCACCTGTTGGCAGCTCAGCGACAGCTCAGCTTGGGTGCAGCGTCACTGGCCCATGTGGGAATCGAACGGGTGGCCCTGTTGCTCAGAGCTTGCGCTCTTAAGCTAGCTCTTAACCAACTGAGCCACTCAGCCGGCCCCAAATAGATTCTCTTTCTATTCTCGCTCTTTTTTTTCATGCCAAGTTTTCCTGAAGTGAATCCCCTTCCTCCTGAAGACGCCTGACTTCTATTGTCGTTTAGGCCTCATTCCTCGGACGGGCCAGGGGTTCTCTGAGTTTTGGTGTGTGGCTCCTTCACCTCTCTAGAACCTTCCTTCACAGTTCTCCCAGCACCCAAATCCATCTCATTTGCTTTGCAGTTATCGTACTTTGGGTTCCCCTAAGAGTAGCACCTGAGAAGAGGGTTCTGGTGTGGAAGCTGTATTTAAGAGGTGACCCTGGGAAGCAGGAGTGAGGGGTGGGGAGAGTGAGATAGGGAAAGAGGAAAAACTTCATTGATGTGGTTGCAGGTGTGGGCACTTGGGGCTCAATCCAGGTAGAATGCATCTCAGAATTGCCTCTATGGAGTCTGGGAGGATGGGGCGTTTTCCCAGTGCCCTGTTCCCTACTGGTTGAGATTTGTTCCTCTGAGGCCTTCACTCTCCCTCTTACTTTCAGGCTGCCCCATGCGGGCTGAGAGGGCTCCCTGAGGCATCAGTGTGGCGTGATGCAGGGAGCCCTGTGGAAGCAAACTGCATATCACAGCTGACCTCAGAGGTGGTCAGGGCATCAGAGCATCTGCTACAGCAGTTCCCATTCCTTTTGCTTCCTGACTTTTAATACTAATAACAAAACATGATTTATCAAGTACTTTTGTGTATCAGTTATTGGGTTAACAGTTTCCCAAATGTTTTATCATCTAATCTAAAGGTCTAGGAAGAAGGTGCTATTATTCCAGTGTACAGATAACAAACTGAGGCTAAGGTTACGAAACCTGCCTAAGGGTTAAGCGCCCTCTGGGCTGGGAGCTGGGGTTGAGGTGAGGGCTGAGCCTGGGGACTCCATTACCTTCTTTACATCCTTGATTCTACCCTTCTCAGGCCAGAGATGGCGAGATCTCAGGGCAAGGACCCCCTGGGGCTGAGAACGGCTGCGTACCCGTGAACTTAACTCAGCTAGATTTGTGTGGTCAGGCGTCACTAGACTCGAATCCTGATGCTGAAAGCATGGAATAAATGGCTCTGTCCTTTTGGAAAAATGGGGTGTAGTTTTTGTTGTTGTTGTATGCTGTTGTGCAGCAAGCTCCTGAGGGAGGGTCTTCTAGAAGGTTCTGCTGGGTTGAGCTGATGCTTTTCTCACTAGGTTCTGCCAAAGTCCTGACTTTGGAGGTTGAATGTGGCCAGATGCTTTCCCCCCAGACTCTGCCAGCTGTCAGGCAGATGGGGGCTGGTGCCTCAGGGGAGTGCCAGAGGATGCCTAAGGGTAGAAAGAGACCTGGAAGGACAATTTGAGGAACATGCTCTTCCACGATGACCCTGGGCGTCACCTCCCAGAAGGGGGATTGACATCTGCAGGCCTCTTCTCAGAGACACCTGTTACTGTGGGCTGGCCTCCCAAGCCACTTAGGGTGGGGTGGGAGGTGGCTTCTCAGGCTCCTGACTGCTCAGAAACAAGACAGCTCGAACAGTGCCACCAAAGGGGCAAACACATCATCCCCAAGCTTCTGTTAACCACTCAGGCAGGCAGGGACTGGGGTGGACCGTGGCACCAGCACCTCCCAGGTCCCTGGGGACGTGTGCAGAGGAAAGTGTTATGAGACGGATCATGGCCTGGACTTCTCAGCAACATGGGCCAAAAACCTCTCTCTTTTTTATTTAAATTGGTTTGCCTTGGGCTTCTGTCACTGGCAACTAAAGGACCCTTGACAGGTACAGGGGCCAGCCACTTCCTCGAGCTGCCAAGTGACCCCTTAGGCTGCTCCAGCCACACCTGACCTTCCCCTTTCTGGAGTCTCCCATCATTCAGGAGCTCCGTTCACCCTCCCTCCCCCACCTGAGCTAGCACGTAGGAGAGGCTCTGCCTGTCATCTACACCAAAGATGAGTTTGGGCCCATGTGCTCTGGGTCCTGGATCACTGACATTTAATGCCTGTTGCTAATTGTGAGGTGAAGGAAAGAGATCCATTGATATCTACAGTGAAACAGACACTGTGCTGGGTCATGATTTCATTGAATCTCTAGAGCAATCGACAATATTTGTTTTGGGCAGGCAATGGGGAAGGCGGGTCCTTGAAATCACCCATGGAAGTGATTCTTTTGATGCCCAATCCGCCCCAGGACGTGGGTTGAAACTCTCAGGTCCTAACGTGCTGCAGGGATGACCGAGCTCTACCTGCCATGAGAACAGCCCTGCCTTTTCTAGTCTGCACCTGGCTGGGTCTGTTATTGGGCTGCATGTTTTTGTTCGCTCATTTTTATGTGTTTATGTAGTTTTAATAACTTGGTGCTTCTCAAGGCTGATTTGCAGACCCACCCTGACTCTGGGACCCCAGGCACTTGCATTGACAGCCCTGTGTTTTGGGAGACCCTTCAACCTGAATAACTGGCGACTGGCTGTGACCAAGCCCCAGGCAGAGCTGACACCCAGTGATGGAGGGAGGCCAGCCTGGCCTTGCCGTGTCAAACACAAACAGCTCTTCTGAAGCTCCTCCACAAACAGCAACAGAAAACAAAGACCAGGATGCAAAGGTTATTTATTTGGATTTTTTTTTTTAGTTACAAAAAAATCCAATCATTTATATTTTGGAAGTTTCATGCTCTGGGAATGAGTCACTGTACCAGGTCTTGAGAACGAAAGGCTTTAAAACCCCCCAGCCTGACTGGGTGGCCAGAGTGATCTAGGTCATATTTCCCAGACAGGTCTGACTCTATTCAACACCAAACGAGTCTCTGATCTAAAACTTGATGCTTAACCTTAAGAATTGGCCCCTCAAGCCTTCTTTGACATGCCCCTTTCCACCCGTCTTTTCTTGCTCTTTCTTTGTAACTAGCTGCTCACACCTTCACCTTGGTGTCCCAGCACACCAAAGCTGCAAGCAAAATAGCCTCCCCTTTCCAGGCAATTCACTTCTCTGACCTGCAAATTGGCCTCAAAACTCCTCTCTTCCAGCAAACACTCCTGGTCTCCCCTGCCCAACCCCGTTCGCACCTCCAGAGAGCAGCATTACTTGGCTCAGGGGACTGACTCTCTGGAGGTCAGGGGATCTGGGCTCTAGCCCTGGTCCTGCCACCTGTCTGCTGTTAGGATCTTGGCTGTTTTCTTATTTTTCAATTCTTAGCTATTCTACCCTACAGAGATGTGGCTATATAGTAGTAGATGCGGACATGCCCTGAAAAGTGAAAAAGCTACCAAGCGCAAACAGGGTGAGTCTGTGGGCCCCTGGGCACTGCCACCCTCAGCTCAGCAATTCTCACCTGCTGAGGGCTGCACTGGGTTCCAGATCGATCGGTAGCCATGGTGAAACACCCACCTTTGTGTGCAGATGAGTGGAGTTTTTACCACCTGGAATGTAAGGTCCCTGAGGGCAGGGTTCTAATGTGTATTTGGTGAGTTCTCTGGCCCAGAGCACCAGTCAGGGCTGAGCATGAAGTAGGTGCTCAGTCTTGAGGTTGGTGACTTTGATCCAAATTTCCTTGGGCAGGTCTACCACCTGTAATGTGGTGGCTGCATCATGGCGGCAGGCTGGTGAAAAATCCATGCCTCTTTGTTTGCCCTCCTCAATGTGACCTCTAGTGGGAAGGGTACACCTGGCAGCCTCACCTGGGTTCCTGGCACCCACTCGGCAGTGGCCCAGGTCTTGGGACCACATGTGGAAGCCGACAGAGCCCCTGTGGATTTTGCCCTCCCACTGGAATAAAAATCCTTCCCGAATGGGTGGGAAATACAGCCTTGCTTTGGGTGAGATGCAAACCCCAAAGAGGAACGCTGCCATATTGTAAGGCCAGTGTGGGATCAACCTGGACCATTCGGAGGGCCACGCCAAGGACCCCTGCTCTGGAGTCACTGTCTCCAGTCCCAAACCCTCAGTCCCTGATAAGACCTCTCTCTAGCGGTCAGAGGAGGCCAGAGCTCACCATGGCCTCAACGTACAGCTTTCATCTCCCCCCCCCCCAACACACACACACACCCCATGAGCGGCTGGCAAATCTCCACAATCTAACTGAAGGAGCCATCTCTTTTGTTATTGTCATGAAAACCATTCTAAGTGGTTGCAGATAAGAAAATGAGTCCACACAAAGAGTGCATCAAACAAATGTTATTCAGAAAATGCATTCTGGGTCCTTCCCTCTCCCACCAACACATTCCCCACCTCCGGGTACATACACTGCATATTACACTTGACAAAATTCATCTTCTTTTAAAAATAACCTGGCCCTTGGAGATCTGCTCAGAGCAATGCCATTGCAAACACTGTGATTTAAAAATCAGTCACGGTAGGAACAAAGCCAGTTACAAGAGAACTAACTGGAGAGCCCTCAAGTCACTCGAAATGGGTTTGCCTCGGCCAGGCCCATTGATGGGACTGGAAACAGAGATTCCTGGAGCCCACCCAGCACACAGAGGGAGGATGGAAACTGGGCTTCTCCTAGGGGCATCCCTGACCCCAGCTGACCCCAAAGAGCCTGGAATCGTCCATGTTTTGCTTCAGATCCATGCAGAATAAAGAGGGTAATAAATAAATAAGTGCTTCTGACTGGTGTTGCTTGGGAGTTTCCAGCTGTGTGTGGATGTAGCCTTCATGATGCTCCCCAGAATTCTCAGATGGAAACCTCGATCTGATGCTGCAAGGGCTCTGTGACCCGCCTCCTGAAACCACCCTGGGTCACACTAAAGCATGCAGTGAGAGGGGTGACAGAACAGGGAGGAAGATTTGTGAGACACTCAGATCCAGTCCTCCCTGTTTGCTGGATGGGCCCCACTCCCAGTGAGCATGGCATCGTGTATTTCTATCTTTGGTTTCGTGTCTTGGAGTTGTATGCCTTTGGAAGTGTAGCGTGGAGGAGTGAGAGAGAAAGGACCAGAGGCCTGCATCAAATTTGTATTCTCTTCTCTTGGAGACACCTGGAAGCCCAGGTTTCTTCCCTCGACTTTGAGAAGAGAGGCCTTCAAGGCTTCAGCACTCAGGGCTGAAGTCCAGCTGCCGCAGCATTTGCTGCAGAAACGCCTTCAGCCCGTTCAGGACCACCACCTCTGTGGAGTAGAGCGAAGCTTCCAGGATGCTGCCCTTCAAGGAATTCAGGCCCGGGACCTGGGTGAAGTGACAGCCCCTGGAGGAGGCCAGCAGTTGGAGAAGGTGTTGGAGGTTCTCCATGTCATTAGATATTTGCATCAAATTTCTGGAAGGCAGATTGATGAGGATCTTTTGGTAGGTCTCCAATATGTCGTTCATCATGGACAAACTCAGGGCAGATTGGAACCCAGGAAGGAAGTCCAAACCGGTGATGCTGTACTTGGAGACAGACTGCTGTGCAGAAGGAGGAGGGAGGGCAAGAGCTCAGCAAGGTGGGAGAGAAGTTGATTCTCTAAAGCCCTCTGCCTTTCCGCTGAGTGTGGAGGTTCGTTCCCTTCATCACTCTTTTCTCCTTTCTCCACCATCCTGACTTAGGCCTTTATTTCTTGTGCCTGGGTGGCAGCCAAGCCACGATGCTGGTTTACTGGATTCTGTCCTCCTGCCCTTCCCAAACCACCCTGCCCTCCACGTCTAGACCAACCTTTGCAGGTTGTTCCCTTCTCCCAATGGCCTCTACTCTAGAACGAGCCCCAACGCCCTAGTTCTTAATTAGTTAAGTCGGATTCCAGGCACCTCCACATATGCCCTCTCCCAGCCATCCTCATTCCCTTCCACCCTCAGCGACTCCTCCCTGCCAGTCAAGCTCTCCACGGTCTCACCCGTTTAGGGACCAAGGCTGTCCCCAGTGAGCATCCCGCCTCCCTCCTCTGCTCCAATAACTCTGGTTACGTAAGGAGGGGTTCCCCTTCCTGATTGCCCGCGGCACTCAGCCCCTGCACCACACAAGTGGGACCCGCTGGACCTGTCATGTGCAGCCTTGTGGAATGACTATTTTGAAAGCAATGAAACTTAAGAGTTTCTCTCTGTGAAATGCCCAAGACCCTGTCTAGTTCTAAGTTGTCCCTGCTTCTGGCCACCTAACTTCTCCCTGCCCGAGGCCACGGCCATACCTCCGCGGTGGCCAAGAGACATGGAGGTCTCCAGGTTGCTCCATGCAGGGCGAACAAGCAGGCTTTTAAGGCTGCTTTTTGGTAGGATTTGGGTTTCCAGCTAGGGTTAGTGAAAGGTTCATAAATCCTACCAAAACCCGCAACTGCGAACCTTCAATGGAGGCACACTTGGCTCTGGCTTTGCAGGGGTGTGGGAAGCTCACTTGCTTTCCCTAATTTAGTCTCATAATGACCTTGTGAAGACTATATGACAGTCCTATTACCTAGGTGATAAAACCAGGGCTTAAAGGCATTGAGCAACTAGCTTCAGATTTTAGAGAGAGAGCAGAAGTGTGAAGATTCATACTTAGTCTTCCTAATTCCAAATATAGGCCTCATCTGGGAAATGGCTGGAGGTCTAGGCCTGTGGACCCCAGAGCAAAGACCCAGGGGCACACTGATAGCTGTTTGATCTGTAGAGGGCTGTATGTAAAAGGGGATAGACTTGCTCTTCTGTGTGGCTTGGCAGGCAGGACTGGCAGTAATGCGGAGATGCTTCACAAGGCCAGAGCTCAGCTACAACGAGGAAGAGCGCTTACTGAAAAGCATATTCTGTAGAGAGCTATAGATGGAGGCCCAGAGAGGGTGCTGCTGGGGGTCTGGTCACCTGTCAAGGGGACACAATGGCTCCCTCTGGTTCTAGGGACTAGGATTCTAGACAAGGAGGAAGGACAGTAAGGAGGCGGGAGATGGATGGGAGATGAGGACAGGCAGCTGTTCGCGCAGGAGGAGGAGTCAAGGCCACCCTGGCCCCTCTGAGGCCCCAGCTAACCTCTGAGGTCCCAGTTCCCCCATGGGCTGGCCACAGCTCTATTTTGTCTCCCTAGAGCAGCGGTTCTCAACCTTCCGAATGCCGCGACCCCTTAATACAGGTCCTCATGTTGTGGTGACCCCCCAACCATAAAATTCTTTTCGTGGCTACTCTATAACTGTCATTTTGCTACTGTTATGAATCGTCATGTAAATATCTTTTTGTTTTCCGATGGTCTTAGGCGACCCCTGTGAAAGGGTCGTTCGACCCTCAAAGGGGTCGCGACCCACAGGTTGAGAACCGCTGCCCTCGGCCCTCCGTACCATGTGTGAAACGCCATTGATCCTGGTGATAATCGTCTTGATGAGGACTTTGGTGTCATCCTGGATTTTTTGGGTGGGCACAGCTTCAATGTAGGACAGACAGAGCCAAAGCCACAGCAGCTGGCACAGGGGTCCGCAACGCATCCTGCCTTCCAGATGTGCTTCTTGGGCCTGAAAACGAAAGGAACCGCACATTTCAAGCCACTGGTATCTCATAAAAAATCATATGCCCTATTAGCAATCCCGTTATTGGATGGGAGTAACAATGTGATTTGCTTTCTGCCCTGGCTATATCCTCTCAGAGTCAAAGACAATTCATTATATAGAGATACAGTAACACAATGCATTCCCCTGGGGGGCAAGGCCTGGTCAATAAAACCATGAGGAGGTGTGTTGTAGACTGCAGAGCAGAAGGCCAGGGCGTGAGCACATGAACACGGTGGTGACGATGTGCACTGGGTGCTTCAAGGAAGAGGGGGCGCTTTTTAAGGTCTGGTGTAAATCCCATCAATTTACTAGCTTCCAGACTTCAGGCAAATCACATAAGTGCTATAAACGCTACCTTTTATCCCCTGCAATATACCTATCTCCAGGCTTTTATAAGGCTCAAATTAGAGAATGCATGTGAAAGAGCTTTAAAGGTATCACGAAAGGTGCTCTATTACTAGCCCATTATTAGAGATTACGTTACTTGTCCTCCCATTACTCTCACAGCAGCCTGCTGATCTCGCTGATGGCATTTATCACTGGCTTTATTACTCCCTCTCTCTCCCACTGGGAGCCTGACTCCAACCAGTGCTTACGGAAGGTCTGCTAAATATGTTACAGGCAGGTCTAGGCACCAAGGCTACAATAGTGAATGACAGATGTTCTCTACCCTCAAGTTGCTTACAGTTTGATAAACAGGTATGTAGGCCATTCTGATTCCGGAAGAAAGAGCTTTGCAAGAAGGACAAGTACAAGCTATCACAGGAATAAAAGGGGGCTTCCTGGAAGAGGTGTCATCTGAGCTAGGTATTAAAGACCGAGTAGGGTTTAGTAAAAGTAGAAAGTGGCTTCCATAATTGCCAAGAAAGCAGCAGGTGCAAAGGCTCAGAGGCAGGAGAGAATACATAACATCTTCCCCTAGAATGTTTGAAACTTTCAACATCATGGAACCATTCTAAAATTAACAATTTGCAGATCCTTGATTAAGCCGCAAAGTTCTAATGAGATGCATGAGGCAAAAACTAATAAAGTTAAATGTTTGCAAGTCTGTAGCCAATGATCCATGCCAAGTATCTGTGGATGAGCCTGAAATAATAATTCAATGTAAATAAATTTTACACCAAGTTCCTGGAGACGGCAAAAAAGTGAATCTCTATTTTCAGTGTTCTGCCTCATCTGGGTCCTGATAAAAACAGATAATACATTTTCTGTCCATAGGTGGCATTATTAGTCTAATTCATGTCCTGGCAATGGAATAGAAATCAGCCGAGGCTGGGGTCCTTTCTACCCCACTCCCCAGTTTCTCTAGCCTTTAAAGAAAGGCTCAAATTATAACCCTCCCCACCCTCCTCCAATGCCAATGCCACTTGGGAACAAAAGCCTGCTCTAAGATGAAGCTATGAGATTGTACCCCCATATCCACTTCAAATATGAAAAATACTAAGTAATTTGGGAGCGGGCACTCCAGATACTTCTGTGCTTGTGTTTTCTCTTAAAAAGTTAAAATTCCGTCTATTAACTACTTATTCACTGAGTAAATATTTTCATCAAATCTTTGTGGAACAGTTAAATAGTGCTCATCTCCCAGTATGATTCCATGAAACCCTTGCAAAGGTGGACAGAGTTGTGGTCAGGCCCTGTGACTTTAGCTGTGGGCTCTGTCCTTGATAGCTGTGCCTCTCTGGGCAAGATACTTAACCTCCCTAAAGCATCCGTTCCCATCTGTAAAATGGAACTAAGGCCACCTGGCTCAAAGCGTAAATGAGATGAACCTGTAAAGCCTGTGTGTGTGTGTGTGTGTGTGTGTGTGTGTGTGTGTGAAGGGTGAGGGGTAGGGGAGTAAATGCCAGCTTTTCTGAATTGTATAATTACTGAGCAGGGTTTGAAACATTTGGGCAACACTACTTATAGCCAACCCTGAATTAAGCTTTTGACCCATTGCCTCCCCAGGACCATCTCAACAGGGTGCCTGGTATTTCTGGGTCCTCCCCCTGCCATGCAAGATTGAGTCCTATCCTTTTCTAGGGTTTATGTGATGATGACACCCTCCTTCCCAAAATAATTTATTACCAGATTAACTCTGGTCATAGTCACTCTCACAGGATGGCCAGCCTGTAATACCTGAGTAGAAAAACAGTTTTACAAGCTCCCTCTATGACCACTGGTAATATGTTTCAGTGGATGCTGAAAATAAATTATAGCTCCTTGGAACGTGGAATTGAGAAGCTGCTGCTAAGTCTGCCTCAGAGGAGAAGCCTAATTTAGGGGTGCTCCATGGGGGCTGCAGAGAAAGCTGGTAACAGGTCCATCTGAGATCAAAGTGATGGAGACAACCTGGCCTGCCAGCACACAACACACAACACACATGCTCACACATGACACGCACACACACATACAAACATACTAACACACCTGACTCTTTTAGTAGAGACTGCTAGTTGTCGCTAATATTTATTCTTCCTTTTTTCACAAGTAATAGAACATCCAAGTTTAGATAGGGATGGGGCCATCCAGAATAAATGCTACACTTTCCAGCTTCTCCCAACTAAGTATGGCCATGTGACTGAACTCTGGCCAGTTAAATACAAGCAGAAGGACTCTTGTGTTATGTGCCTTGGTTCTTCCTTTTTTTAGGAGATGAAATGTTGGCATTGACACCAATCATGGAGTCAGTTCCTGAGAGCTGATAAACTGGGTAGGAAAGACTATAAAATGCAGTCTTTTGCAGTTTGCTGAGAAGCAAATGAAGTAAGTGCAAAGGACTCCATGGGCCTAGGCATCAGGTGTGTTGTTTTTAAGCAGAAACAACCTCTCTTTCTATTCTCTGTGACAACTGTGTGGACAAAATAATTTCAAGGCTTTTGGCTGGCAGTCCAGAACAGAGCTGCTGCCACTGGAATCCTACAGCTGGTGGGGACAGGACCTACTGATGGACTGATTGCAGAAGAATTTGGCTCATTTTTCTTTAAATCACATGCATGCTGTTCAAGGATGCATGCACCACGGGGACTCTACCTCCCCGGAACCCCTTCTCTTTCCCTGACCCCTACATTCCCTTGGGTGGCATCTAGGCTGGAGCAGGGACAATGCCCCAGATTCTGTGAGGCAAGCTCTCCCAAGCGGCCACCTCGGCACCCAGCATGGGCCACTCAGACACAGCAGGCATCCGCCTGGGGCTGACAGGCAGGAATTAATTGCGATTTCCCTGGCTCTGTCCTTGGTGCTTGGAGCCATTTCCTGGAACAGAGGGGGAGGAAAATATTTCCCCCAAATACCAAGAAGAGTTATTTTGGGCATAAGATATACAAAATATGAGAAGGACTCCTTTGGCCAACATGGAAACGTTCCCCTAAGCCTAATGTCCTAAATTGCTTGAAAAAGAAAGAACTTACAAACATCCACTGTTTTTCTCTTGCCTTCTCCCCTTACCGAAGAGAGAAATGGCCAACATGGCCATTCCGTTCACTGGACGTTAGAATGGGAACGACAATGGTTCTGCAGACTAAAGAGACTGGGTACCTTCTATCCCACCAGTCCCAGAGGACTGCTGCCCACTGCAGAACTTGCTAGAACAAACACAAGGAGCCTGAGGGAGCTCAATTCTGACAAAGGGGCATCATTGAGCTTGTGCTCCGGGGGCATTGCCTTCAAGTTCCTGCCCTCGGCCCCACGTCCCCTGAAGACTACCCTTCCAGCAGAAAGCAGTCATCTTGTCTTTCCAAAGCTGCCATTCTCAAATGACAACCAGGCCACTTGTCACACTCAGCTCTAACTATATTTAGGGAGTTACTTTTCCAGAGCGCCACCATCTTTAAGCTAGAGAACTGGAGTGTGAAGGCGACCACACCAGGGGAGAAGGCAGGCTATAGGAAGGCCTGGTAGGTCTCATCGGGAGCCCCCTGCCAATAGTGTGTATTTGGTGGTTTGGGCCAGGGAAGTGGTAACGGTGAGAAACGTGAGAAAAAGGCCTTCCCCATGACCTGCTGTTCTGTCTCCCCAGAGAAACCCTATTTTATACATCATGAAGACGGCCATTTGCACAGCTTGGAGACCAGAAGCGGTGAGGCCCAGGACAAGATTTGGGTTGTTCCTGACTCTTATTCTCCCCACCCCTACTCCATTGTTATCCTGGTCCTGGGCCTGGGTCTTATACAACCCCTGGGATTCAGAGGTCAGGACCCCTGTTGGAAAAAAAATGCCTGCTTTCTTACAGAGCAAGGGTATATACCTAGTCCTCAGAAACTGAACGCTGGTATCTGTGTCCTTCGAACCTTCAACTTTATCTCCCTATCCCCAAATAGGAGCAGGGTACCCTGATCTTTGGGGAAGTGCTCAAGGCAATTTCCAAAGCATCTCAGCAGCGAGCTGGTGGCTCTGTCTCCTGGGGCCCTGGCTGGCTCCCTGAGCAGATTCCTGCCCGGTGGGCATAGGCACAGCTCAGCCCAGCTCCCAGCTCCCAGCAGCCCACTCCCTCTGGTTAGATCTCTGTGCAAAGTTACCATGGTCCAGAATCAAGCCCTCTGGCCTGCCCTTCTCCTGTCTCAGTTTCCCCCGGGGCCCGGGGTGGGGTGGGGAGAGGAGCTGTGGCCTGCCCAGGGCGACCCGTAGAGAAGGAAAAAGGAGAGTGCTGGGGGCTTACCTCGAAGCTGCTTCAGGGCAATCGCTTCGGAGCTCCATGCCTGCCCGCCCCTCTTATACAGTCTCCCAGGCACGACTTGCGCAACTGCCGGGCATGCCTGGGCGCACCCGGAGCGCCAGGTCCCGCCCCACCCCGTGGGCAGCTCCGTGCCGGGCAGATGCGGGCCCCGGGCCTCGAGAGAGGGACTCTGCTGTGCCAGGAGTCACGCTCGCACCCTCGGGGACGCCAGCAAGTTTGGGGACCGCTGGCAGGAGCCACAAATCCTCGAGGTCCCGACATAAGCTCAGGCACGGCTCGGGATCAGCATCTCGGGGACAAGTGACTG